AGGGATGGAGGACACCAAAGTCACTGTGTTGGTTTTGGTGGACTTCTCGAATGCATTCAATATGGTCGATCATGATATCCTGTTAGCGATCCTCTCCCAGGTTTCTGTATCTAATGACGCACTGGAATGGTTCTCATCCTATCTTCGCGAGCGTCAGCAGTTGGTCCAGGTTGGCGATACGTCATCGAGCTGGTGCCAATTGACTGCTGGCGTTCCTCAAGGCGGAATTCTCTCTCCTCTTCTATTCTCAACTTTTATAAATCGAGTCACTTCCGAACTTCAGTGTGCGTACCATCTATATGCCGACGACTTGCAGTTGTATTGCCAGGCTAGAGTCGAAGATTTGCCCGATGCGATCTCAAGGTTAAATGCGGACCTGGCTGCCTTGAACGATTGGTCAACAAGTTTTGGTATAGCAGTGAATCCCAGTAAATGCCAGGCAATAATTTTAGGAAGTTCCCGTATCTTTGGTAGAATCGACAGCGCAACAGTGCCGCCGCTTCTATATGACGGTGCGATTATCTCGCTCAGCAGTGACGTGAAGGATCTGGGACTGCACATCGACAATAATTTGACGTGGCGTGTTCAGATCGCTGGTGTTTGTAAACGGGTGACGGGCACGCTTCGGTCTTTGTATCGCCTTAAAAATTTTCTTCCGTCCTCCACCAAGATAATGCTTGTCCGTTCCTTGGTCTTTCCTATCATTGACTATGCTGATGTTTGCTACTACGACCTGAATGCAGATCTCATCAATAAACTGGACCGCCTTCTGAATAACTGTATTCGATTCATCTTCAACCTGCGTAAATACGACCATGTTTCTGCATACCGATTGCAACTAAAGTGGTTGCCCATACGTCAACGCAGGGAACAACGGGCACTAACCACTTTATACTCCCTGCTTAATTCCCCCACTTCTCCAAGTTATTTAGCCTCCTACTTTCAATATGTGAGCACCAACCACAATAAGTATCTCCGTTCCACAAACAATCTCCTCCTCCAAGGTCCCACACACCGAACCGACTTTCTCCACTCGTCATTTTTCATTCAGTCAGTCTTACTGTGGAATGCGCTGCCCACGGATATCAGGACGGCCTCCAGTCGGCTATCCTTTAAATTTAAAGTCAATGAATATCTTCGGAACAAACTGACACAATCAAGTCTCAATTAACACCCTCCTCAGAAACTTTATATATATAATTATATAAAATATATAAACCCATTATATATTTATTTTTATATTATATTATATTTTATATTATATATTTACATATTATATTTATGTTTCATATTAGTATGTAGTATTGGTATGTAGTTTATGTACTAGGATACCTTTATACATATGTACGTACATTTATCACCCTCGTTTTTATTTTTTTTTCGATAGATGCAAACTTCTTTTAAAGCCTACTGTAACACTTCTCTGCATCACCTTATGGTTGGCTGGTAGAGAATGCCATTCGGCATTAAGTCCGCCATTGTATACAGTTGTACATAAAGTGTTAAATAAATAAATAAATAAATTAATGATCTGTATTTGATTTTGTAAAATAATCAAACAAGGGTAAATACAATTTACTTGACTTTATTTTTTTCACAGGTTGTCTGGTGACTTGAACCCCCTGCACATTGACCCCACCGTTGCGACTGCCAGTGGACACCAGAAGCCCATCCTCCACGGAATGGCAACTCTTGGTTTCTCTGCCAGACACGTGTTGGCTAAGTGAGTATAGTATGCAATATTTTAAATAATTAAATGCAATTTTTTGCCTACAACTAAAACAGTACTCTACAATTTATTGTAGTTTTAAATTCTACTGCCATTCAGTATTAATCCTTCAACACAAACGATTAAGAAGGCACAGTGTTCCAACATTACAGGATAGATTTAACATATTGGGATGAGACACCCAACTAAGAAGCGTCTTTCTAGGCAATAAACCACACGCAGGTATTGATTTATCGGACAATGTAGTCGCTTATTGTTGTGCACAACAGATTGCCGCGAAGCAGAAAGAGAGAAAAAAACAGTATTTTATAATTAAAAGTTGTTCCAACAATAACTTTTATAACATGGGAATACAATACATTATACAATCAAGTATTTGTCAAATTTTTTACAAATAATTTTCTGTAAATTCCACAAACTTCAAAACCAAACAATCTTCTACCTAGGTACGGAGGCAATGAGCCCAGCAACTTCAAGGCTCTGAAGGCTCGCTTCGTGAAGCCAGTGCTCCCAGGCCAGACCCTTGTCACCGAGATGTGGCTCGAAGGCAAACGCGTCCACTTCCAGACCAAGACCAAGGAAACTGGCAACATTGTCATCGCTGGTATGTAAAAATTGTCTTTATTTTTGAAGATTTAAGATGCATTTTTGCTGGTTTTCTTGCAAAAACCCATCTCCGATTCGTTTATGTATGGTCATAATGATTCGTTTATAATGATTAATGAGAATAACAGTGATCATCTGTAAATAATTCCCAATCAACTTTGATTATTATATTAGGCCCAAGTGTAGTTACTTTGGGCACTTTTTTGATTGGTATGACGTCTGGTGAATACTGGGAGTAGCTCGGACAATGACGTCATCCATTTGAGTTCTTACATAATTTGCGCCAAAAAGTGTAGCTTTTCAGTTTACCTTGTTAAAATACTTAAAAGTATAATACTTTTTATTTTTTAGGAGCATACGTCGACTTCAAGAACATTGTATCCAGCCAGGGCGCGTCAAGCTCTGCTGCCGCTCCGGCCGTAGCGCCATCTAGTGGTGCTTTGAAGTCTGACGGTCTCTTCCACAAGATCAAGGAAGAGGTCGGCAAGAACAAGGACTTGGCCAAGAGCATCAATGGCGTCTTCTTGTACAATATCACAGAGAATGGAAAGACTGCTAAGAGTTGGAGTGAGTATCTAACTTATTTGTGTATTACATTGTTATTTGTACCTAGTAAAACCAATATCCTTGTGTGATACATGATAGAACACCCATTTTCCGCGAAATATTCCCCATTTAAAAGGACCCTATTATCACAGATTGAGTGCAGAGTTATTCAATCATAATCGAAACCTCATTTCATTTTCATGTAAGAAACTTGTAAGTATCACAAAATTATATATGTTCTTTTCTTCACAGCTTTGGACTTGAAGGTCCCTGAAGTATATGAAGGCCAACCAAAGAGCGGCAAGGCTGACACAACCATGACCCTTTCCGATAGTGATATGGTAGACCTAGCTGCGGGCACACTCAACCCACAGGTCGCCTACATGAAGGGCAAGCTCAAGATTGCAGGCAATTTGATGCTCGCGCAGAAACTCGGACCCCTACTCAAATCCCCTGCCAAGATCTAAGTTAAATATTGGGAAATGGATATTTATTAATGATTTACAATCAAAATCTTACTACCAGTAATAAGCATTAGATGCGAAAGTATTATAAGCAATAAAATCATCTTTTAAGAAAATGTTTTATATTTTGTTTTGTTTCAAAGACTTTTTATTTAGCCAGAAATTGCATTTATGTATATTACTGCTATGATCTGTGATATGACTTTTAAAGACCGAGTAATTCCGCTGGAGGGCAATTTCTGGCTCTTCTGTTTTGTTGTCACAATCAAGTGAAGAATGTATATTATTTTGTATGGTGACGGAAATAAACACCACTTTTATAAAAACACTTGTTTTATTTACTTAACCATTGGTCTGTTGGAACATTGATTGAGGCAAGACAATAATAATATAATTTGTTATTGTCTCATATAGAGGCAAATAACAGGTTAAACATTTGGTATCAGTTTCCCTTCGAGAAATAAGTTTGCTTCTTTAACTTCAGTCTCCCATGCCAGTTTCATATGAAGTTGCTCAGTTAAGTCTATGAACTTGCTAGCTTGAACTTCAGGCAACTTCTTTGTCGATACAGCAGTTCCAATTATGCAGCAGTATGTTCCTATAAATGAGATTAATTTATGGACTAGGAATTGGTTATTTGAAGGTGTAGCAGTAGCTATTGACAGTCATGTTTAGCGATTAGACATTAACATGTTGGTAAATCAAAGAAAAAAATAAATATGAGATTCTCCTTAGCATAGCTTGAAACTAGTCGAGTTCCTCGTCCAACAGTTACGTAAGTAAGCCGAAAACATAACAATTAATTAAGATAAAGCAGATTAAAGCAATGTGCAATTGAACGATAGAACTTCATTTAATCTTGTACAGTTTAGAAAGGGAACTAAAACGTTACTCACCTTTTCTTAGTGAACTTTTATCAATAATGCCGTGTGCTGTTTCGCATTTCGTAATTTTTGCTCGTCCTGTTGAGTCGGATATTATTAAAATATCTGCTCCTACCGTTTGTTCGATGGTGCCTTGTAACCACACATCTATCGGTGGCGGTTTGTTGATTAAATCTTTTAGTAAATACTTTCGCGGATCTAGAGACATTCTAAATAGTCTACAATAAATTAATAATAAAAAGAAACTGTGACGCGAAGTTGGCTTGGAAGTTCAATTATTAATTAACTTTGACTTAATGTTAACTTTTCTAAATCAAATATTGATTGTTTACAATTATATTCAACTGTTTAATTTGAAAAAAATATGTAATTAACATATTTTTAATTTTGTTAGTGGCGAAACTACATTTTAATTTTCATTCAAAGTTCGAATATTTTCATTCGAAAAATGACAGCCGACTGATAGTTATGACAATTGACATTTGACGTCTGTTCTGCTTGACAGCAAATCGCAGTAAATGTTGCCATACAAAATTAAAATCGTGTACTTACTGTAAAAATAGACTTCCGTAAATAATTTCGTCCCATAACATAAAAACTTGAACTTATGGTTGTGATCTTCGGCTTCAAAGCAAGCTTCATCTTATTTTTACTTTAATTAAAATAACTTGACACAACGCGAACGCAAGTTCTCAGACGCCATTATTATAAACGCGCGAAGTTCAAATCTTACATATTCTTGCAATTTCCTAGTGAGTATCGCAGGCTAGTTTGTAACATCTCCCTTCATTTGTTTATACAATTAAGGCAGTCAAAAGACTTGAAAGTGTAACAAATGATTCTAGTTATTTTGGATTTAAGGAGGCTCATAACATACCACTTAAAACCAACGTCATATATTTTGCGAAAAAACTCAATAATGCTTTGGTTTTCTCGAGAATCGAACTAAATAGACCTCTTATTTAAAATTTGGTTTTTCGACCACGGCTCCGATGTAGTAAAGCTATAGCTTGACATTATTTTAATTAGATTCAGGATCTATATTTATCCAATCAGTTTCCAAAAATATTATGGATTTTAGAAACAAAAACAAACATCCAAACATAATACCTCCTGTTTTTGAAGTTGATATTTTTTTTAATTGTTGACCCACACTAGGATTTTCTCCTGTGTTGTGGGTGCGTTTACAAACATACAATATCACATACACATGACACCCAGACCCGGAACAACAATCTGTGAATAACACAAAGAGTTGTTCCGTGCTGGAATCGAACCCGCTACACGTTGCGTGACATCCAGTTGCCCAGCCACCGCGCCAACCGTGCAGTCGAATTAATACAGTCGTATTAATACAATAACAGGTAAACTAGACCCATACTTAACGTCAAATCGAAGGTCACACTTGCGATTGCGATTCCTCTAGCGAAATTAATATTCTAATGATTCGACGACGAAATAAGGTCTCAGACTTTGCCCTGAGGAACACCTATAATCTATCTATCATCATCTTCTAATCTGTTCTGATTAAAAGATTTAATAAAAAAATAAACAAATTATGACTGATTGCCTGATCTGTTCTGATTAAATTCAAGCCTTAAGATGTTACTTAAATTCATTTTATAAAAAATAACATGTTTTGTTGTACAAGTGATGTGTAATTTGAGTAGGTACAACATTGAAAGCTTTTGTAAAATCCTCATGTTGTTATATCTACTAACTTCTAAACCCCGATTATGAAAAATCCACAACATTAGTTCATACAAAAGTAGTAAACGTCGGAAATCTAATAGCAATTACCTAAGTCCCCACCGAACCGCGCTTGTTCGAACATTAAAATCTAAATTACGAAGTACATATTAAGAAATGTAGACAGAAATAAACGTAATGTCTTCCAATCACGTACAACATGGATATAACTATTAACCATCACAATCGATATCGTAAAATGACTGTTAATGACTCAATTTGAGCACTCCACAAGGAATTTTCAACGCAGATTACCGCCACAATTATTTCATCCGCATCAACACGTAATCAGTTGTTTATAAAGCGACGCTGCAAGCATGAAATCACTCCGATACTCGAAGCCGGCCCATAACAACTCAATCAACGCAATTTTAAAATAAACCTTTTTTTATGCCGTACAAACACTGGCCGCCTTGAACAAAAAAATATTCCCCGGCGAAGGTCTTAATAATGACTTTCTCGAGAACTTGTTACATGTGGACAGCGTATAGTAGTCGTATGTGCGCCATCTGTGAAATGATGCGATTTTGAACCTTATTTGTTAAAACCAAGAAAGATAAAATTTCAAAATATCTTGGAATATTTTTGTTTCAGGTGTTATTTTTTGTACAACTCATGTACACTTTTTTGGTAGTTTATGTATCTAGAAATGTACCTTACTTGATATATGCCTATACTTACCTATCTAACCAACAGTTACATTTCAACAAATACGATTTAAGAAAAACCTCTTATCATTCATCTTAATCCTTGATCCGACAGAGCCGAAGACAGTTCATTCGGACTTGTCCGGTCGGTACCAGTAGAAAAATAAAATAAAATAAAAACGCAACAAGTCTATTTCGTTCAGAGACCGTTTATTCCAAAGAGACATAAGAGGTAGGAGTGGGGTCGGGAAGGGAAGAAGATATGAAGCTGTCATCTGGCGGTGCGGCGGGGCTCTCGACTCTAAACACAACTCAATCGGAGGCGCGCGCGTGGCCCGGACGAACGTACCCGCGTACCCGGTCTTTCGTTCGCCATAAACAAAACGCAAACAAATACAACAAAGTTATCGGCGGAAACTAAACAGAAAATCGGAGTTCATAAATAAAACTTTACAAGGAAAATCAAGAAAATAGTGATGGTTTAACGTGACGTTCATAAAACAGTGATATATTTGTGGGAGATCGTAAAAGTTTAACAAAAACAGGAGTTCTAAACTTTCCAATGAACGCGAGCCATGTGACTACGGCGAGAGCGGCGAAGCAAGATTTGTACGTGCATTTATCTTATTTTAACTTTATTGTAACGTTTCTAATAATAGAATGGACGAAGGAATTCTGCTTGTTCACTTAGTTTAAGATGAAAATAATGCTAAGATTATTAGAGCACTAGTGTTTGCAAATCATCAAAAAGAAATATATTAGAGGATTTTGTCTAATCTATAAATTTGCGCCTTTGAACACTAATAAGTATGCGTGTACCTACTATTTAGGCAAAAATTGAAATTTTCATATTCATTTCAGTAACAAATAACATAAGCACGAAACGATTTGGACGAGGCCAATTACATTACATTGTAGAACAAGTATCTGTAATGAATTGATTATTTACCGTAAGATTTAAGGTCACGCATGTCATGATTTATACAATGAATGCGGTACGTAGCACCAATAACAGGGATCGCAAGTTAATTCATCGCATAGTAAAACACATTTGCATATTCGTGATATCGCATAGAAATAACTCAATTGATCGAGTAAGTACTGAAACAGTATTGTCCTCGCCTTTCCCGTGTCCTTACTCATAGTGAACGTGTACAGAACTAATGAGATGGTCTATTAAATGTTTGACGTAAATATATCACTTGACAAATAGCCGGACGATATTTAGTAGAGTGCAAATAAAGGTTTACCGACAGCATAAAATCGAAGACTATTTTCGCACAAATTGAGGAGGTGAAGAAAAAGACGTGCACAATATTTGTAATTGTCATGTATTCTTTGACCAGCGAGTATTCAGAATCGAGACCAATAATGTTAAGGCACATAAAGTCTAGGCTTGAAATTAACTTTAGACATGACATGAAACTGCAAACAACAGGCATCTTTAAGACTGCTTAAATATACCGCGGGCATTCCAAGCCGATTAAATATTATAGGCGTCTTCAGAAGACTGACATTTATTACTTCTAAGATCTCCAGTCCCAAAGGTGTTGGACAGCCGTTGACGTATGAATTAGTCATTACATGACAATTTTCTAATCTAGACGGACGCACGTTCCGCACATAAAGCTGTATTCAGCGCGCCGATTGATTTATTGCCATGCGCTGTCCATAGTAATGTTTATCTTCCCTTTCTTACCTGTATAGTCCCGTCAAGGACAAACTAATAAACAACAAAGGCGAAGCAGATTGTATGGAAACTAATTTGAGATAAAATTTTACTGTTAACTGAAACAAACACTAGAAGATAAAGTTTGGATGGTCCATAAAAAATTGGGCGACTACTGCAAGTCTCAAACTTAAATGGTGTCATAATTTAATGTAGTTACTAAAGTCTTATTGGTTGGACACAGTCTCTTTCTCTTCTCTTTGAAAATTTCTGGGAGATTCTAACGGCTTGTGCAATTAGTCGGTATAATCTGTTTAAAGAGTTTAACAAGTCGTCACCGTGTGGCTGTAAAACTTCAATGAGTTGCGATTTGTAACGCAACACGAACAAGTAAATTAGACCCATTTTAAAATACACAATACAGCAATGTCAGTGCAAACTGTCAACGTTTTAAAAAGATATTTAATTTAACGACCGAAACGTCTCGCGAGTTTCGCAGAATGAGTGGCGAGCGGAAAATTATGATAATTTCGTTATACTTATCCGACAATAGACTAACGTTGAGGCTCAGGCAGATATTGGAGTAACTAAGAATTATAATATAGTTCTGATAGCATATCACTAATACAAAGTTCTCATTGAATCTTTAGTTAAAACGAATAAATCTGAAGATGAAGAGTCATCAAACGGAGAAAAGTTAATATCATCTTCCAATATGTAAAATAACTTGTATCGTCCAGATTTTTAGGGCTTAATAGATTTCTAAGCTGAACTTGCAAGAAATATTGCTATTAAAGGGTTAGAAACAGTATAATTTGGCTATAGTTTATTGCTTTTTGTTACTTCCTACAATGATATTCATGTCATACCGAATGGTAAACAATAAAACTCCAGTTCATTATTCCATGTTTGATAACACGATGACCTTTTTTGGCTCATTTAAAATATTTCCAGAACCGGAAAACTCTACGTTGATATTTGTCGAAGATCTTACTAAGTTTGCATTGTGGTTGTGTAAACTAAACAGATGAACCGGGAATTGTCTAGCTTTGAGAATGATTTCTTCCGAAATGTTTATTTTCTATTCACGAAGCGAGAAATTGGATAGCTACTGCAGTCAGTTGTCTCTAATCTAATGTTTACCTTCGTAATTAACTTTAGATGACGAGCCTTCAAGAATATCAAGTTACCAACGTGCCTTATCTTTGATTTCTAGTACAGCATATTCTTCTCTCCATTGTTTTGTTTGTATAAGCTTTAATATGACTTGTTAGTCACATGATATGACACAATACGTTTATACTTCATGTGATTGAATAGAAGCTATCGTTTATTTGTTTAGGGGTTCTATAAGTAGATGCAATCAAACCAAGGGTATGAACATCTGTTTCAGTTATAACACTTCTCGACATTTTTAGTCTGCGTCATCGCTGAAGTTTTTAAATTGTTTTTAACTTCAGTTTGTTGAACAGGATTCAAATAAGTTTTTATTGCCATTTTTGTTCTTATATTAAGTATAGTGTATCAAGAAAGTAAGTTAAGTGAAAAATTTAAAGGACTAACAAAACATTTACGAGGTGTCTCGTTGCGAAATGGTAACACGTCTGAACGGTTACGACCATTTTATCGGCTGCGTTACCAAAACCGATCGCATTATATTCAAACTTTGTTTTCCTTTTGGTCACGCGTGCGAATGATCTCCAGTCTGCAATCTCCACACTGAATTTAGAACTTCCATATTAACTTCGATGTTTAGAAACAAAAAACGTGGTCGGCGCATTTACTATTCTGACCCTTGCAGCTGCAAGCCACATGTCTTAATTTGTCTTCTAAACCGACCTTTTTCATGATTTATGATCGACATGGTGTGTTTCTACATCTGAACCCATGAATTTGTAGACTCTGAAAAACGCTCTAGGCATCTGTATTAATGTGGTAGACAGTTGCTTGTGAATTCTTTCCCAAAGTATTCAAGATAATCTTATGTTAGTGTAATGCTATCGTGTTATTTTTTCTTTGTTTACAAGGACATTAAGCCCGTCTTTATTACGTTTGGCTGCTTGGTTCGAAAGTGAACAACAATAAGATCCATGTCTACTTATACTCCAAAATAGTAGCGAATTTGTTCTATTTGAACGCACAACTAGACAATTATAATAAAGTGTTAAGAGTTGCTACCTGCGGCCCTTTTGACTGCTCCTTTTTTATTTGCTACTGTTCATTTTTTGAGTTCCATTTTTATTCTGCCGAAGAGATCGACCGATGTTACCTGCGTGAAATTAGGATTGAGATGTTCTTTTATTGTTAAAGGTTATGCAAGTCTTATGTAAGATTTTTTGCGAGGATTTTGAATTGCTACCATATGTCACATCTTTGTTGTACTTAAAGAAAATCTTGTTGATGTTAATACTATTATGGACATGTTTTTCGTCAGCTCGCTCCGCAAAAACAAGAGCTCAAGTGGTGTTGAGCCGGACATCCTTTGGATTGGAGCCAATCAGTTTGTTTCCGTTCTTATTTAAGTTTCTTTTAACTGGTTCAGTGTTGGGGACAGATTTACGCTCTGAGTTTTTAACATTCATAAACGTATATCCATATTGTCTGTTGTGTTTCTCTGTTTAAAATTACCTACCTAATCATTTTCGGAAGCTCAGTTTCACAAAGACGAGGTTTCTAGTTTCATTTTAACATAACATAACATCACGCCTTTTATCCCCGAAGGGGTAGGCAGAGGTGCACGTTATACCACTGTACAATGTAACACCCACTTTTCACTATTTATGTTATGAGTCCCATGTAATAGGGGGTGAGCCTATTGCCATATACCGGGCACAATTCCAGACTCCGTGCTATTACTGGCAATATTTTTAAAAACCCAGTAATACTTTGCCCGACCCAGGAATCGAACCCGAGACCCCTTGCCCGGCAGTCGCACTTACGACCATTCGACCAACGAGGCAGTCGTTGTCGTTTCATTTTATTAGTGTTCTTTATATTTAGACTTTTAAATCTGCATTAATAATGTCCCAGTAGTTATTTAAAGAGCATTACCATATGACGTTAATTCATGTATTCATATCTAGTAATACTTTCATTACCATTCTATCTTTGCATTCGATGCATCAAAGGATTAATGGCTTCATTGACGTGGCTAGTAATATTATATGCTTCAATTCAATACATACTTCATTCCAATACTGGATTAGCTTCCACAGCTCCCAGCATCTGAGTCATCAACCTCGCAAAGTAACAAGAGCTGGATTCTGAATTTATTCAGACGCAGCTTAGGATCACGCCTCGTTGAGAGCCCCATTGATTTGTATGATTTATTATACTGGTAACACGAGATTTGTGTGAAACAAAACGTCTTTAGTGTTGCCCGCATAATCCGTCACTGGTTGTTGCACTTGGGTAGTCGGTTTAGTACCCAAATAGATTTACAGAAATTTTGTATTTTTTATTAACTACAATTTAATAGGGTCAATATTGTATAATAATTATCTTACAGTAAACACCAAGCGGTCACCGGTGACCGCAACCTATTGTTCTATAATTGTGTCTACAAAACCGGTACTCGACGAGTTAATCCGGTATTAAATCTCTTTGTGCAATAGTTTATTTAATGATTTGATATGCAATGAAACATGATAAGTATTATCTTAATCACATGGTACTTAATTGTTATAAATTATATCAATTACTTAACGATTTACCTTACCTAAATATTTTCAAATAAATTACGAAAATTGTTTGAATTTGTACGTATCTGTTGTGCAGTAACTAATAACATCCCCATCAGTGCGTGGTAGTCTTCCTTGAGGTGATACGAGGGTGATGATTCATAAGTCATTATCATTATTAATTTCTGGTCGCGGTTTAACCCGCCATCCCGTAGGATAAAAAGTAGCGTGTGTTATTGCAGACCATAATCTATCCCTGT